CCCCCCTTCCTCCCAGCCAGCCCTGCTCCCCTCCCGGCTGGTCCCTCCCCTCCCCACCCGCCACCCCATGAAGTGTGTCCTGTATTTTTTTTAAGACTACCTGGTGACCCTATAATGTCTCAAAAAAAAAGTGGCTTTGCGTTTTAATTTAATCGCATGATACACTCTTTTAGTTTTAAAATATGGATTGCTGTATTATGCAATAAGCACCAAATTGCACATATAAAAACAAACTAAGAAGTACAATGTCCCATTCTTAAGTTTGTATTTTTAAGTAAAGTTTAGCTGTTAATTAAAAAAAAAGTTTAGTTATGTTTTAGTTTCTTTAGTTTGTTTGATGAATAAAATAATGTCCTTTATGAATGAGTAGTCAAAAAATGTTCACCTTTAAAAAAATAAATAAATAAAATTCCCTGGGTGCACACCCTAATGAAATGTTCTGTGCACACCTATGCCTGTAGCGCAAAGATCACACACACTTGTTTCTTTCATTTGTTCACAATCCTTTTTATTTAACAAAGTTGCTGCCTATCTGCTATAAATTATCCCTCATCTATGAGGTATCTTTGCTCAGGAGATTCTCAGAATGTCTGGAAATCACTCAGCACATTGAGAATGTCACCCTAAACAAATGTCTGGGTGGGAGGTCACTGGATCTTTACGTGCAAAAACAACAGTCTGCTGTAATACAGACAGAGGAACTAAGTAGAAAGGATAAATGTAAAGTGGCTCAAAATTCATGTGATGATTCCTCAACAGAGGAGAATGTGATATAAGGAGCATAGTTCAGCAGCCCTGTGGCTCATTTTTAGTTTACGTCTCATGTTCCTAAAAGCTCAGGCTTTGGGGCTTCAGCCAGCTACCTGCATACTCATATTTTATTTTACCCAATGCATTTTAGGAGGGTTTAAGTTTTATCTCCTTCTTAAGCATCCAAGGGGACCACAACTAGAGATGGGACACTGTATAACTACCACCAGGCAGATTTGAACCTGGGCCTTCTTGAGCTTAGTATACAAGTCTCTACAGCTTGAGCTATAAAGCCATGTAGCTTTCAACTGTGGCTATAGAGTTCCCTTGTTCTTATCTCTCTTTATAAGTGGTCTAAGTGTCACTACATTGGACAGTGAACCACACTAGGGCTACGTCTACATTGCAGGCTTCTTGCGCAAGAAGCTTTTTGCAGAAGAGATCTTATGCAAAAACTTCTTGCGCAAGAGCACGTCCACACTACAAAAGCGCATCGGAAAAGTGATGCACTTTTGCACAAGAGAGTGTCCAGACTGCACAGACATTCTTTCGCAAGAAAGCTCTGATTGCCATGAACAGAGTGGCTACCAGAGCACCTGTGCTTATTTTGATAGGCTGTTTTTGCACAAACCCCCCCTGTTTTCCATCCACACATACCTTTTTGTGCAAGAGCTCTTGCACAAACAGGCTTATTGCTCATAGAAAGAGGAATAACTATTGTGCAAAAACCCCTCTCTTCTTCTGATTTACTGTAAATTTACTTGCACAAAAACACGCTTGCAGCGTGGACACTCTGCGAGTTTTTGTGCAAAAACTCTGCAGTGTAGACCTAATCTAGGTGTGTGGGATACAACTACACAAGGCAAGCTAGTGCTTTGAGGGAGCACCATGCATTCTCTCTCATATGTGCACAAATTTTGCACACATGCTCAGGGAGTGGGGTTGAGAAGGAATATTGCCTTGAGGGATTTTCACCTTTTATGTCAGTATGTGGGTGCTGCACATGCCAGGATTAGCTGAGTGTATATCACTTAATCATTTCCCTGCCATTGCAGGCTCTTAGGCAACAAAGCACATTGGTTTCTCCAGTTCTCGCCTGTGGTAAATTAATAGTCCAGTCTCCTCTGGGCTGTAATACTTTGATCTAATTTCAACTGTGGGGTTTAGTGTGCAGGTTCTGGGTGGTGTTGGTACACCCACAGGGTATGCAGGAGGTCTGTATGGACGGGATGATCTGATAGTTTCTTCTGGCCTTTATCTCTATGACTGTGAAATTAAAAAGTCAAGCTTTTCCATTGGAGATAGGCAAATATTGTTCCAAACAATGAATGAGCTTGAGGCTCCATGGGTAAAACCAGTTACTGACATTGTGATATACTATCAGAAGAGAGTGACTCGAGTCGCCCCAGTTCTAACCGTTTTTTCTTTTTTTTCAGTGCCAGGACTTCTTCACACGTGTCTTAAGACATATCTACATTACCCTGAAGTTCAGACTATGGGTGCATGTATAGCAGTGCATATTGAAATGCTGCACTGTTCCTCCCTTGTGTGGATGATGCATGTCAAGATGAAAAGTTCCTACCTCGTATTAATGTAGACTTCTTTAAAACAGGATTACATTATGACTGAAGAGAAGGGTGTTAAAGTAATACTGTAAATCTGAACATTTTGGCAAATTCTCATAGTCTTGTGAACTTTTAGGGCACATAGAGGCAGAAGAGATTCCTATCACTATAAACTGCTCAAAAACTGTCGGTTCTTGTTTCTGAAGGCCCATGTATTTTTTCCCAGCATCAGGATGAAAAAATCTGACTGGAGCTACAGTATAACCTTCCTATGTTTTTGTTGTTTTAAATCACATTGATATACATAGGGTTTGGTTTCTTTCAAGTGGCTTTGATCAGATGCCTCGATATTGAGCAATTTACCAAAATAAATAAACACAAAGAAGCTAAGGAGAATTGCATAATTTTCCAACAGAACTAAACTCTATTTCCAAGAGACCAAATCAAATTGGCACCACCAACTGGGAAAGTATATTTTAAAGGCCAGAAAGAAAGGATGCCTGACTTATTCAATTACAAACAATTGCCTGTAATGATATCTGTTTTGACTCACATTGAATTACCCTGCTGCTTCAGTGTACATTGATATTTCTGTCTTTCTGCCTGGACATTACAGCACATGTTTTAAGGAGAAAAGACAGGGATCTGCTCAGTGTATGTTAATGGGGAGATAATACTGCATATATTAAAGGTTACATAGGGATTCTTCTGAGAGAAAGCATCAAATCTCCTGCCAAAAAAAGAAGAGCTGATTGCTCTTGAATGATTAAGTTAGTGAGTATCATATTTCTTTTCACAAGAGTAATACATTACTCCTAAGAATTCATTGTGGTTGCTATCTATTTTCCTACGTTTAGATTTGGAAATGATTCATGAAGCATGAAGCGCTTTCCATTAGAAAGACAAAAACAGAGAGGCAAAATAAATAGCCTAGGTTTAATGATACATTTTAAAAACTGGAAAGAAGCTTCTTTCCGTTTTTTTTTTAAAGTACAGAGACTCATTGGCATAGAAAATCTCAGCATACAATTGGCATTAACATACACTGGTATCACAATTTATCTGTGTCAAAAAAGCAATCAGCAACCTGCTGGATCTTGTTAAATGTTGCTCTCACTTATATTTCAGTAAGATAGCACACAAGCTATCAAAAATGAACTTACATGATCCATCAGTTCACGAACCATTCCATTCCACTGTCCATTGGCATCATCCTGGGCTCCATATTTGCCATCCTCCACCAGCCTGATTTCATAGGTAAATCCAAGGATGGTAGCTAGCTCCCTGAGGAGGTCAATGCAATAACCCTCAAATCGATCATTCCCATACAGAGGTTTGTCAGACTTCTTGAACATCACATAGGGCTCTTCCTGTAAGAAGTGAAGACACAGAGTGGGAGCATTAATAATGATCCATTTGTATAAAGCTGTTAATATGTTACCATGATATCATCTCCCATACACAGAGAGAAATGGACTTAAAAAAGTAAATCCTACTGTCTCCCTTCTATCAAGGGAAAAAATTACCTCAGATTATTCAAAAACTCTTTCATTTTTAAGTGAAAATAAAGAGCCAATAGAGAAGCCACATCTGTAATGCAGACATACCTTGCCTAATCTGAAATGTGTGGTCTACCAAATTACTCATTAATGTCCAACATTTTACTTGGGTGGAATATTGTAAATTGCTCAAAATGGAAGCAATCTAACATTGTGGCTATTCATCAATTGAAAAACTAATAGTTTTAATTCAGGACATAATTTAAGAGTGCTAATTACGGCAGGCTATAAATTTATAGAAGGGGGATGTTAACTGCTTCCACAATACTTTTTAAAAAATAAACATGCAGAAAACCTTTCAAAACACAAATCAGTACCCGTACAGGTTGGACCTCCCTGGTCTGGCACCCTCAGGTCCTGATGGGTCCTGGATGAGGGATTTTGCAGGTCAGTTGTGCCTTCCCCTGCTACCAGCTTCCCCAAGCCCTGGACCAGCTGCCAGCCTCCTGCTCAGTTTCCCCTTGCCACCACCCTCACTTCCCTGTCAGTCCCCCCACCTCTTTCTCTGCTAATGCCAGGCAGACCAGCTCCCTGTGCGCCAGGCTCTGGCCCTGTGGGGCAGCCCCACTGTGGAGTGCTGAGCTCCTAGCCCTGTGAGCAGTTCCACTGCGGGAAGCCCAGCCACCAGCCCTCCACCAGGAGTCTCTGGTCCTGGAACACCCGTGGTCCTGCCAGATGACAGATGTTGCTGGACCAGGGAATCCCGAATTACAGAGGCTCAACCTATATATTCTGGTCTGCTGCGTCAAGTTATACACTTTGCTCTTTAAGATAATGCAGAAAGCCCTTGAGAATATTAACACAAAAATATTTCTATGGAAACTGAATTTTATTTCCTTAAAGCCGTCAGCCCTGCTATGTAATTCTAAGGTTAGAATGTTATTGAAGATCTAGGAAGATGTTTATTGCATTACGGGGTATGTAGAAGACAGTCAACACTTTAAAATAATTGGCAGGTCATTAGTAGTTGTTTTGGTAGGAAAGTAATGCCTAGTGCTATGATGAACTTCTTGTTATGTTTTGTGTGCAGAATAAATATCACTTTTATTAAATGTAATGCTGGGAAGGAAAACAAATACTACACCTAAAATTTTCTATCATCAATCTCCAGTTTCTTTTTTGAATCAGAATAGGTTAAATAGATGAGCTTAAGGTTTTCTTGTGTTTTACACCTTTCCCCTATTTTATATAAGAATAAAAAATAACCACAAAGTAAGTCAAGAAAAATTGTACCAGATACAATTACTGCACCAGGCACAAGAGTCAATGAATAATAAGATTTCTCTCCTGGGTAACTTTGTAAAATTCATACAGTACTAAACCTCTGCATCAGCATTCACTGGGGTTAAAGGCACCTTATTCTGCTGGCACTTGGCAGCTTTAAGAAGAATCTGTCAGCATTTTCACTATACACCCTATATTTGAGGCAGCCCATAATTGATCCATTTTAATTTGCATAAAACTGGAATTTTAGAACAAAATATGTTCAGAAAGTATATTGGTGTGTTTGTGGGGGAGTGGGGAATATCTTGTGTATTAAAGAGATCAATATTTGTTTTCTCCAAATTGTCATGTTATGATTCTATTTCACACATTTCTATTTAAAGAAACAAATATAGGGCCTGATCTGGCAAAAGCTGTATACACATGTGTCATCATCTTTCCATTAGCTCTTCATATTATTAAGAGGTACTCGCAAATTAGGGTTTTGGTAGAGATCAGCACTTTGGTTTTTAATATTGAATTTGGCAAGTAGCTAAGGAGTTTCTGATCTTAATTTACAAATATTGTTATGTTGAAATTTGTTGAATCAGGAAAGCTGAGTATGCTCATTGGCTCTTTTTCAGAGCTTGTTTTAGCAGGTAAACTGCATATCATACTAAGTACAGAATAAAGTGCACTCTATGTTCCAAGTTCCAAAACTCTGTTAGCCTCAGTGACATATTTCATATTACCTTTATAATATAAGGGCTCTTACAGTCTTTTAAGAGCCAAAAATAAAGTTCGACCTTTTCTGGAATTTTGTGAGAGTTATGTGGAATACAAAAATATTGTGCAAAATCCAAGCAAACTGAAAAACAGATTTTAATGTAGTAATCATGAATATTTCAGTTAAAAGGATACTGGAATTTTCTCTGTTTTTTATTCTCATTTCTAAAAAATTGTAAACATGTATAAATTACTAGAGCTCGTCAGGAGACAATTTTCCTGTTCCATTTTATGCATCAAAAAATGTCTCCACCCTGAAGCAGGGACTAAAATCAAAATCTTGACAATTTTCATAAACTGAAAAATGGAAAACTATTTCCATTTGGGTCAATTAAAATATTTCATTGTCTGGCTATGCTGAGAGAAGGAGAAGAGACACCACAACTTTATTATTAGTTGTCTGGGACTACCCAGCAGATAGCACGTAGAGTGCAAGTAATCATAATTAACCAGAAGAGGAGTGCTTTAACTGGTCCCCTGGTCCCTTTTCCACCCAAGTCTCTCCAGTGTATCCATTTCTGGGACCTTACAATCCCGGGGGAAAGGGGCTTCAACCGACTCTTCCCTCCATTTGCCATATATATCCCTCCAGCAAATTCATGCTGGGACCTTATCAAGCACTCCCCTCAAGGTAGACTATAATGATGGGGAATTGGCTCACTACCACACCAACAGGAGTCCCCAACCACCCCCAGCTCACTCAGTTACCACAAACCTCTTCATTAAGTCCTTCTCAAAGACATTTATCCGTTGCTACATGCCCTCTTTTATGGAGTACCTGCAATGAATATCTGCTTTACATTAAATAGTAAGTTGCAACGTACGGCCTACAACTCATCATGTTCTGTTTGAACAGGGACCACCCAAACTTGCTGTGAAGAAGGCATATAAACACAACTGAACCTGAGTCAATATGGTAGAAAGGGAAAAATTCCTTCCCAGCCCCCTCAACAGGGTGGCAATTGAAAAGCCCACAGCAGATATAGCCAATAACCTGGTATATTTACAACCAGAAAAGCAAGGGAAAGTGGATGATTCCAGTCCTACTCCTTGAATAACAGGGGAGGGTCCCAGCACAGGCTTTTAAAATCTCTCATTCCTGGGTGATGGGATAGCCACCATGCTGGCCTCTTTCCAGCCATTTTACATCTTCCCCTCCCCTAAAACCATCAAGAATCACTCTCTTCTTCTGACCAACCAAACAAACAACTTTTCAGTTTAAGATGCAGGATCTCAAATGGTTAATGCATTACAAAGGCAATTTCCCCTCTCCAAATATTCACTAAGGGGCCACAGAATTCCTCATTGTTTTTTCATATACCCATCAGTTTTGCATGAAGGATGAATTATTTAGGACACTGATCCATATCAACCCACTCAGCCTATCCCAATGGAGTCTCTTAAGCTACAAGTTCACTGTGAGTTCTTCCAGCTAATCCCTGAGGGATTCATTAGCATAAGGCACAATCTCATTAGCATATTTTCTGCCATTTCTTTTTGTGCAGTGGGTTTTTGCTCAAAAACAAGCAGTGTGGACTTTTTTTTGCTCAAAACCCCCATTTTGTGCTAGATCCTTATGCCTGTCCCACGTCCACACTGCTTGCTTTTGTGCAAAAACCCCTTGCGCAAAAAGAAACGGCAGAAAATATGCTAATGAGATTGCAATTTATGTTAATAAGTCCCTCATTAGCATATTTTCTGCTAGAAGAATTTGCAGTGAAGACAAAGCCTTAGGGTATGTCTAAGAGAATTCAGACTCTGAAATACACCCCCTCACTAGGCTTCAAAACACTGTGTTCTCATGTATTTTTAGAGTACTAGGCATGAGCCCACCCCCTCCCTACCCCAAGGCTATTGACCCAGACTGGGAGGCTCACAACTATATGAGAAAAACAACAAACGGTCTGATAGAACTTTGTAGACTAACAAAACATGTAGATGGTATCATGAGCTTTCATGGGCACAGCCCACTTCTTCAGATGACCAGAGTTTGAAGTTTAGGATGTGAAGACCCAAAATAAATAGGAGGGGGGGGGGAGGAAAAAAGGATGGGGGAGGATATAGAAAATAGGGGGGGAAGGTTAAAGGAATCAGTGAGTATCTGAAGATTGAGTAGTTAAAATGAAGCAGATGAAGTCAATTGATAGTATCCCTCCTGACATAGGAATCTACGCAAAGAGCTGTTTGCACCTCTATTGAAAGTTAAGTAGATAGTGTCCCAGCTAGTCTTCATCACGATTGAGTACATTAGCATGCGAATTGAATTTGCGGATGAACTCTAATTCCAATGCGCCTCTGTATATCGGGCTAGTAGAATTAATTTGCAACAAGACAGCCACTTGAAGATATTTTAAACCATGATTAGGAAGATTTAAATGTTCCCCAACAGGTTTCTGTATGATCCCTTTATGTATATCTGATTTATGTCCATTGATACTTTCCCGCACAGATTGTTCAGTTTGTCCAAGATATATAGCAGTGGGTCATTGCTAGCATTTGATGGCATAGATCAAATTACTGGATGTGCAATCAAATGACCTTTTGATTTGGTAGCTTATGTTGTTGGCTCCAGTGATGAATTCACTAGTATAGATATGTGGGCAGAGTTGTCATCGTGTTTGGTTGCAGGGCTATGTTCCTGGCTGCTTATGACGTGGTTGTGTGGCATGGTTACCAGAAAGAATTCACTTCAGGTTGGGGGGAGGGGTTGTCTATAGGCGAGAATAGGCTTTTCTCCCAAAGCCTCTGAGAGTGAAGGATCATTTTCCAAGATGGGTTGCAGATTGTGTATAACGTGCTGGAGGGGTCTGAATTGTGGACTA